AAATAAAACATAGTTTTAGAAAGTGCCTAAATATTTCAAAATGAATTAAAACAGAAAAGAGTAATAAATAAAAGAAAAATGAGAAAACACAAAACCAGAAAACAAACAAAAAAAGAAGGAAAAGAAGCCCCCTAATGGGCCACGGCCAACCTGGCCACCAGTCAGGCCGGCCTATTCCTTGCACCCCTCCCTGGCCTATATGGCCCGACTCCCCCGACCTAACCCTAGCCTAACCCCATTCCCTCACGATCCCCACCTCCCTCTCCCTCCGGCGCCGCCAGGGGAGACCCCTCCCACGCTCGATCCCCACTTTCCTCGATCCTGAAGCCCCACTCTCTCCCCTCGTCCCTCCTCTCCCCCCGTACTAGATCGGGCACGCACGCACGATCCCTTCACCGCCGAGGACCCCGCCGTCGCTCGCCGCCCACGACTGCTTCACCACCGTCCGTCGCCTTCTTCCGCCCGCCCCTGCCATTGGCGCCGCCCTGCGCCTCCCTTGGTCGCGCCCGGTCGTGGCCGGCGCTCGCCTGCATCTCGTCACCGCCCTGCGCGCCTCGACCTCCTCCGCGTCGCTCTGCCACGGCGCTACCGGCCTTCCCGAGCACTTACCCGAACCCTGTTCGCTGTGAGCTCCTACTGTGTGCCCCCTTCTTCCCCCCTCTGCTTTACTCGCTGTCCCACAATCGCTCGCGCGCACCGCGGACAGACACCCACGGTCACCGCGGCCGTCCCCGTCCGCGCTCGCCATAGACCGCGCTCACCGCGAGCCCCGGCGCCTGCTGTGGCCGTACCCCCACCCTCGCTTGCGAGCTCCGCCACTGCTGCTCGTCCGCGCGGCCACTTCTCTTCAGCCGTCGCAGCCGTGCTCACCGCCGGCTGCGCGTGCGGCCACCGCGACTCGCCCGTCCTCCTGCGCCGCGCTGTCGCTCGCCGGCGCACGCGCGCCCACGGCTCCGGTTCCCTCCTCCCCGCCGCCCTGTTCCGGCCGGCGCATGTGTGCCCCCTGACCACCGGCGCCCGCGGCCGGCTCTGGCGCGTCGTCTGGGCGGGTTACGCCCGCACAACGGGGTTCCGCCCCGTTTCCCCAGCGCCCACAAACGCTACACCCAATACCCGTTAGCCCCTGGGCAAATGACAGTGGGGCCTGCCCCTGAAAACAAAAAACAAACAAAAAGTTAAAAATGAAAAGAAAATAATAGTTATTAAATTAACCAATTAATTAGTTAATTAAGTTTGCTTAATTAACTTAATGTTAATTAATCTGTTTAAGTTAGAACTAATTAACTTAGTTATCTCCGGTGACTATGACAAGGGGGACCCACTGCTCAGTTTGACTAGTCAACAGTCAAACTTTGACTGCTGACTGGGCTGCTGACTCAGCCCCCTATTCCCACCAGTCAGCCCCATGTGTACACCTCTAGGTACACTTGTGTGTACCCATAGCATTTAACTTTTTAAATTCCGAAATAATATTAATTCAGAAAATGTATTAAAACTTTAGAAATTAATATAAAATAATCCGTAACTCGGATGAAAATACTTTATACATGAAAGTTGCTCAGAACGATGAGACGAATCCGGACACGCAGCCCGTTCGTCCGCCACGCAACCCTAGCATAGCAAACATGCAACTTTCCCCCTCCGATTCATCTGTCTGAAAACCCGAAACACCGGGGATATTTCCCGGATGTTCCCCCCCTTCACCGGTATCACCTCATACTGCGTCAAGTCACCCCTAGCATAACGTAATGCCGCGTCTTGCTTTTTGTTGCATTGATTGCTCTGTTATTTATTGTGTTCCCCCTCCGTTACTTCTTTCCGGTAGACCCCGAGACTCCCGGAGACCCCCAGTACGACTACTGTGTCGATGACCCGTCCTTCTTGCCAGAGCAACCAGGCAAGCCCCCCCTTTGATCACCAGATATCACCTACTCTTCTCTATACTGCTTGCATTAGAGTAGTGTAGCATGTTACTACTTTCCGTTAATCCTATCCTGATGCATAGCCTGTCCTTACTACTACTGTTGTTACCTTTACCTACAATCCTAATGCTTAGTATATGATGCTAGTTTATCATCAGTGGCCCTACATTCTTGTCCGTATGCCATGCTATACTATCGGGCCATGATCACTCGGGAGGTGATCACGGGTATATACTATATACTTTATAGATGATACATGTGGTGACTAAAGTCGGGTCGGCTCGTGGAGCACCCGCGAGTGATTCACGGATTGGGGGCTGAAAGGACCTTTGTCCCAACGGCCCTCTGTGTGAATCTTTGTGGCGAAGCGACAGGGCAGGTTGGGACCACCTAGGAGAGAGGTGGGCCTGGCCCTGGTCGGTGTTCACGGTTATTTTAAAATAACACACTTAACGAGATCTTGGTATTTGATCTGAGTCTGGCCACTGGCCTATACGCACTAACCATCTACGCCGGGACAGTTATGGGCACTCGACGTCGTGGTATCAGCCGAAGCCTTCGTGACGTCAGCGACTGAGCGGCGCACGCTGGGTTGGACCGCGTAACGCAACTTCCTTTGTAATGGAGGTTGCTAGGTCTGCTCTCCGGCCGCGTTCGCAACGTGCAGGTGTGTAAAGGGCGATGGGCCCACACCCTTGCGCCATAGGATTTAGACCGGTGTGCTGACCTTTCTGTTGTGCCTAGGTAGGGCTGCGACGTGTTGATCTTCCGAGGCCGGGCATGACCCAGGAAAATGTGTCCGGCCAAATGGGATCGAGCATGTTGGGTTATGTGGTGCACCCCTGCAGGGAAATTGATCTATTCGAATAGCTGTGTCCCTCGATAAAAGGACGACCCGGAGTTGTACCTTGACCTTATGACAACTAGAATCGGATACTTAATAAAACACACCCTTCCAAGTGTCAGATACAACCGGTGATCGCTCTCTCATAGGGCGATGAGGAGAGGATCATCGGTTAGGATTATGCTATGCGATGCTACTTGGTGAACTTACCATCTACTCTCTTCTCCTGCTGCAAGATGGAGGTTACCAGAAGCGTAGTCTTCGAAAGGACTAGCTATCCCCCTCTTATTCCGGCATTCTGTAGTTCAGTCCACATATAATACCCTTATTCCATTTGATACCAATGCATACATATGTAGTGTAGCTCCTTGCTTGCGAGTACTTTGGATGAGTACTCACGGTTGCTTTGCTCCCCCTTTCTATACTCGATTGTTGCGACCAGACGTTGGAGCCCAGGAGCCAGACGCCACCGTCGATGACGACTACTACTACTCGGGAGGTGCCTCCTACTACATGTAGCCCGCTGGCGACGACCAGGAGTAGTTTAGGAGGATCCCAGGCAGGAGGCATGCGCCTCTTTCGATCTGTATCCCAGTTTGTGCTAGCCTTCTTAAGGCAAATTTGTTTAACTTATGTTTGTACTCAGATATTGTTGCTTCCGCTGACTCGTCTATGATCGAGCTCTTGTATTTGAGCCCTCGAGGCCCCTGGCTTGTAATGTGATGCCGGTATGGCTTATTTTTATTTGTAGAGTTGTGTTGTGATATCTTCCCGTGAGTCGCTGATCTTAATCGTACACGTTTGCATGCATGATTAGTGTACGATTGAATCGGGGGCGTCACATGCGGTGTGGTGAGCGGTGATGCTCTCCCAGTGGCGCGGCTTGGTGCTTCGTGGAGGTGCGGTTCCGACCGTCGCAGGGTTGTCCTTTGGTTGGCGACGACTGTTGTGGGCGGTACTGGACCTTGGTGGAGGAGCGGGGTGGATGTGGTTTCTTGTCTAGGCTGGGAGTTTGGTGTTGTGGGCGGGTTCCTCTTGGTCGTACAGCCGGTCGTCGGTCCTCGGCTTGGCAACTACTTTTGCTTAGAGTTCTTAGAGTTGCGGCGGCCTGGTGGCGAGGCTAATTGGATGGATTTCCAGGAGGTGTGGTGATGTGCGATGCTCAGATGAAAATCTTGCTTGGCTTCTGTCGGGCCGGCGGCGATGGCACCCGTGGGTGTCATCCCCTTCTTGGAGGTGTCGCCGAGGCGTGTGCGCCATGCCCCTCGCTCACTTGGAGACTTGGAGTTGGTGGCTATCTCCGGGCGAAAGCCTCGATTCAGTATTGGATCGGCACATTGGCGACGTCCTCGACATCGTATCTCTATTGGGAGCTTCGTGTGTAGAGACACGGTTGGGTCCTTATTCCTCTTCTCCGGTGTTTGCTGCCGTCCTCTTCCGGTCCTCTATGACACTATGTATGCTCGTCGCCGGTGTCTCCCTCGGCTCAGAGCAAGTCATGCCTTCCACTTGTCACTTCCTCTTAGGCGTTCAGAGTGGATGATGCATTGACAGGCGATTTTCTACGGATGGTGTTGGTCTTCGGAGCCGTCAGGCGTCGGTCGAGATACGGTGTGTGTGTAGGATAGGATCTTTTGTGTTGTAAGTAGCTTTTCTTTATGGTGTTGTCGGTCTGTGGACTTGTTCGAGAGTGGTGTGGTGTGTAGTACGCTTGTTGTTCATTGTGAGTGATAGTTTCTTGTAATTTTAACTATACCTTTCATATATAAAGCTATGGCACGCCTATTCGTAGCAAGCGAACGTTCACTCGGGCTGCCGGCTATACATCAAAGCGCAACAACCAAACACACAAACACACCACAGTCCGCGACCATCATGAAGACAATCTCTGGACGCCCCTAGACCTTCCAGCCCTGTCAACGCCACCCATTTTACAGGCAAAACAAAGTAGACACCAGGATCCATCACACCAAACCAAAGCATCAGCCCGAAGCCGAGCGAGCATGCGCTATTCTGATTTCTGAATCCGAGCAAGCAACAGTCTTAAGGTAAGAACACAGCCAGACCTTACCCGGCAAACAGATTATTCTGCAGAACATGTACCTACGCCACAAACAAGCAAAAACATATTCTTCAGATTCCCTGCACCGACGAACATACTACTAGATTGAACTGTACAAGCCACACCAGCTGGTGCTACTGCATCTCTGCTGCTTTGGCAGAAGGAGCGCCTATTACTTTCCAAAGAGGGATTTGATCCACCACAGGCCGCCGTCCTTGGGGGCGTCCTGGCTCTCCGGCGTCGGCTCCGGGTGCGGCGTCCTCCGGAGCTTGCTCACGTCGTACCCTTCCCCCTTGGCCCTCTCCACCAGCTCCTCGTACACGCCCTCGTCCATCTGCGGCTGCCTGCACAAGATCTACACACACCCACACCCCGGCAGAGATCAGATTGGCTATCGATCTACCGCCGCCGGCACCGCAGTTCAATCGAATTACGTACCCAGAGGTAGTTCCGGGAGGGCTGGCCGACGAGCGCGACCTGGTAGGCGTCGTCGACGTGGAGCACCCAGTAGTCGCCGGTGACGGGGAAGACGGGGAGGAAGGGGGGCACGTAGAACCTGACCCTGAGCTTGGCCTCGTCGCCGGCGTCGTCGGCGCGGAAGGCGGTGCCCTCGATGTGGCCCCGGCGGCCGTCGGTCCAGGTCTCGTTCAGCACCCTGACGGCGCCGTCGGGGCCGAGCGTGTAGGTGGCGCGCGTGTTGGCGCCGTCCTTGGGCTGGAACCGGGACGGGAAGCACGCGATCTCGTACCACCGGCCCATGTACCGCTCCAGGTCCAGGTTCCGCACCACCTTCATGGCCGCCATCGGACGTTGAGCGTGAGGGGGAGGGGAGGGAGCGAGGGCGGCGTGGGTTGAGGCGCCGGCGGCGATAGGGATGGATGTGAGCGGGGGTTTGGAGGGGATAGGGATGGCGCTGGCAATAAAAGGCTGGTGCGGGAGACGTGGAGGGCTGTGGGCGATACGTTGGGACCAAGATTAAAAGTTGCCGTTTGCTTCTTCTTTTCTTGAGAATGAAGTCCACCGTTTGCAGCTGGACACAAGTGTCGTGGACCCGGGGACAGCTGTAATTGAGAATGGGCCTATCTTACACTTTGGCCCACTGGCACGGCCCAATATTTAAGGACTAATGGACCTTTTGGGACGGCCTCACCTGAAAAACAGGGCACGGGAGCCCGTCCTCGTTGATGCAACATTACGGGAGCAACTAACTGAGGAGGAAAATCCTATTCGCCGCTCGCTGCGGCAAACTGTCGAGCGATCGCACAGGGGGCAGCGCAGCGAGCGACAGAAATGGGCCGGCCCACACATAATGCGTCCAAACCGGTTTTGGGAACCTTCCAGAAGGTTCCCTGAACCGGGTTTTTTTCCTGTATCGTTTCTTTCTGCTTCTTTTTCGGCTTTCTATTATTTTTTATTTCTCTTTTTTTCGTTTCTGTTTCTTTTTCATTTTTTCGTTTTTTGTTTCTTGTTTCACTTTCTTTTTCAAGTTTATTTTTCTTTTTCAGAATATGTTTGTAGTTTTACAAAATATTTATGATTTCCTTTTTTATTTCCTTTTCTTTTCTTCTCTTCCTTTAAAAAAATCAAAAATTTAAATTTTGTTCGTGTTTCCAAAAAATGTTCAGTTTTTGGAAAAATGTTTTCAAAATTCAAAATTTGTTCTCGTTACACAAAAAAGTACAAAACTTCTGACATTCAGAAAATGTACTGAATTTCAATTTTTTGTTCACATATTCAAAAAATGTTCGCGCTTCCAAATTTGTTCGGGATTTTTAAATATTTCTCTCTGTTTCAAAATATGTTTTCAAGATTCCAAAAAATGTTCATGCTTTAAAAAATTGTTCGGACTTCCAAATTTGTTCGGAATTTTTCAAAATTTCTCTCCGTTTCAAAATATGTTCTCAAGATTCAAAAAAATGTTTGTGCTTTAAAAAATTGTTCGCGCTTCCAAATTTGTTTAAAATTGTTCAAAAATTTGTTCTCAAGATTCAAAAAATGTTTGGGAATTGAAAAAAAGTTCCAGCTTTCCAAATTTGTTCACAAATTCAATAATTGTTCATGTTTTTTTTAAAAAATCACAAATTAAAAAAATGTTTTGCAGAGAAAATGGAAGCTTTTTGTTCCTGTTTTTCAGAAAATGTTTTGCATTTTCAATAAATTCTTCTTGAATTCGGAAAAAGGTGTTTTTTCATGTTGTTCTCTTCTTTTGATTTTTTTTTGAGATTCCCAAAAATGTTTCAAGTTTTATTTTTTTTCTCTCTGTGAAATATGAAAATGTTTGCGGCTTATGTTCGTATAAGGCGGACTGCCATTTTATGTTCGAAATCCCAGGAATTATGGTGGCTATCAGGATCACTCACTTGCAATAGGTTATCTGTTTGATCCCTGCCGCTGTTGTATGTTTCTTTAAGTATGGCGCTTCGATGTTAACACGACAAGTCAATTGTCGCAGTGGCTAGCTCAGCACGCCATCCACCACGAGGTCCCAGGTTCAATTCGATTCACAGCTCATTCGTGCTCTATTTTTTACATTTTTTTATATCGCGATCATGCCACCGGAATTGGGCCGGCCCAGGTTAGCGGCGCCCTGTGCGATACGCCGGCACTTTGCCGCAACGAGCGGTCAATAGGAAGTCCCAACTGAGGAGCACTTGTTCGGGAGCCCTGCAAGGGTCACTTGGGTGGGCTGAGAGCGCATCACCTGGCGTGCTCTCAGCCCCCACCACGTATCACGCTCTAGGCGCTCCATCCAGATTATTTTATTCTGCACACGTTTCATCCCAACCTGTTTTGGCCCGAAGATTTTTTAAAATCCTGAAAATAAAATAAAATCATGAATATTTTCAAAATTCATGAACATTTTTTTGCAAATTCATGAACATTCTCTTAAATTGTGGACATTTTTGGAAATCGTGAACATTATCTGGAAAATATAAAAAGTTTTAAATTCATGAACTTTTTTTGAAACCATGAACACCTTTTGAATTCTTGAACAATTTTTCGAAATTTGTGAACATTCTATAAATTTACGAAGATTTTTACAAATTCATGAACATTCTCGTAAATCATGGGCATTTTTTGAAATTGCGAACATTGTTAAAATTCACGAACAATTTTTCGATATCATGAACATTTTTTTTACAAATTCATGAACATTTTCTTAAATCATGAACATTGTTTGAATTCGTGAACATTTTTTACAAATTCGTGAACATTTTCTTAAATCATCAACATTATCTGAATTCGCGGAATTTTTTTGAAATCATGAACATTTTAAAATTCATGAAAGATTTTTACAAACTCATGAACATTCTTTTAAATTGTGAACATTTTTTGAATTCTCAATCAGTTTTTAAATCACAAACATTTTTTGAATTCTCAATCAGTTTTTAAATCACAAATGTTTTTTGATTTCATGAACTTCTTTTCAAAATTGACAACTTTTTTAAAATTTAAAACTTTTTGATATCTTAAATTATTGAAAAAAACAAGGGGCATCCCGGCCGACACATGGGCCACTGCTACTTCTTGAGCTTGCGTTGGTTATTTCCTTGAAGAGAAAAGGGTGATGCAGCAAAGAAGAGTAAGTATTTTCCTTAGTTTTGAGAACCAATGTATCAATCCAGTAGGAGACAATACACAAGTCACCGAATACCTGTACAAACAAACACCAACTTGCACCCAACGCGATAAGGGGTTGTCAATCTCTTCATGGTTATTTGCAAAGTGAGATCTGATAGAGATGGATAAACGGTAAAATAATATTTTTGGTATTTTTGGTTTATCGGCGGAAAGTAAAAGATTGCAAATGAAGTAAATAGGAAACTAAAATTATAGATCAGAAACTTATATGATGGAAAGTAGACCCGGGGGCCATAGGTTTCACTACAGGCTTCTCTCAAGATAGAAATTATTATGATGGGTGAACAAATTATTGCCCCGGGCAATTGATAGAAAAGCGCAAAGTTGTGACGATATCTAAGTCAATGATCATGAATATATGCATCATGTCTGTATCAAGTAGACCGACTCCTGTCTGCATCTACTACTATTACTCCACACATCGACCGACTCCTGCCTGCATCTAGAGTATTAAGTTCATAAGAACAAAGTAACACATTAAGTAAGATGACATAATGTAGCGGGATAAACTCAAGCAATATGATGAAAACCTCATCTTGTTATCCACAATGGAAACAATACAATATGTGTCGGTTTCCCTTCTGTCACTGGGATCGAGCACCACAAGATTGAACCCAAAGCTAAGCACTTCTCCCATTGCAAGAAAAACCAATCTAGTTGGCCAAACCAAATCGATAGTCCGAAGAGACTTGCAAATATACCAAATCATGCATATAAGAATTCAGAGGAGATTCAGATAATATTCATAGATAAGCTGATCATAAATCCACAATTCATCGGATCTCGGTAAACACACCACAAACGAGTATTACATCGAATAGATCTCCAAGAACATCGAGGAGAATATGGTATTGAGAATCAAAGAGAGAGAAGAAGCCATCTAGCTACTAGCTATGTGTTGGGAAACATAGCATGCAATTTCAAAAAAATTCCTACGATCACACAAGATCTATCTAGGAGATGCATAGTGCTACCTCTTGAGCACTGCGTTGGTTTTCCCTTGAAGAGGAAAGGGTGATGCAGCAAAGTAGCGTAAGTATTTTCCTCAGTTTTTGAGAACCAAGGTATCAATCCAGTAGGAGGCCACGCTCAAGTCCCTTGCACCTACACAAAAAAATGAGAACCTTGCAACCAATGCGATAAAGGGGATGGCAATTGATACGTCTCCAACGTATCTATAATTTTTTATTGTTCCATTGTATTGTCTATTTTGGATGTTAATGGGCTTTATTTTACACTTTTATATTATTCTTGGGACTAACCTATTAACCGGAGGCCTAGCCCAAATTGTTGTTTTTTTGCCTATTTCAGTGTTTCGTAGAAAAGGCATATCAAACGGAGTCCAAGCGAAATGAAACCTTCGGGAACGTGATTTTTAGAACAAACCTGATCAAGAGGACTTGGAGTGGACGTCAAGCAATCAACGAGGCAGCCATGGGGCAGGGGGCACGCCCTCCCCCCTCGTGGGGCCCTCGTTGCTCCACCGACCTACTTCTTCCTCCTATATATGTTCACATACCCCGCAAACATCCAGGAGCACCATGAAACCCTATTTCCACCATCGCAACCTTCTGTACCCAAGAGATCCCATCTTGGGGCCTTTTCCGGAGCTCCGCTGGAGGGGGCATCGATCATGGAGGGCCTCTACATCAACTCCATGGCCCCTTCGATGATGTGTGAGTAGTTTACCTCAGACCTTCGGGTCCATAGCTAGTAGCTAGATGGCTTCTTCTCTCTCTTTGGATCTCAATACAAAGTTCTCCTCGATTCTCTTGGAGATCTATTCGATGTAATCTTCTTTTGCGGTGTGTTTGTCGAGATCGGATGAATTGTGGGTTTATGATCCAGACTATCTATGAACAATATGTTGGAAATATGCCCTAGAGGCAATAATAAATTGATTATTATTATATTTCCTTGTTCATGATAATCGTTTATTATCCATGCTAGAATTGTATTGATAGGAAACTCAGGTACATGTGTGGATACATAGACAACACCATGTCCCTAGTAAGCCTCTAGTTGACTAGCTCGTTGATCAATAGATGGTTACTGTTTCCTGACCATGGACATTGGATGTCATTGATAACGGGATCACATCATTAGGAGAATGATGTGATGGACAAAGACCCAATCCTAAGCCTAGCACAAGATCATGTAGT